TGTTGTTTACATTTCAACAATAGATGATTTTTATTTATTATTCTGTAGACCGTAACAGATACTCAAATGATCAAATGTAATAGTTATCGTTCAAAGTATTTAAACTACTACCAATGTGTGTTGTTGATTAGTTAAACTATATGTTATTTTATAAGAAATGTTTAAATAATTTGATTTTAAATTAATAATAATCTATAAGGTTCATAAAATAAATAAACATAATGTGAATATAGGAAATTGTGTGAGAATATAAAAATGAAATTCACTTACTATACTATAAATAGTATAAACCCTAAAAGAGTCTTCCAATCTTTTTTTTTGATAATGTAGGATATTTTTATAATTTTTGTTAGTAAAAATGAAACTAACTTTTTTTTTTTATATAACAAATAATTAAATTTAATTCAAAAAAATAATTTATTCACTAAAAAATTCTAGTTTAATAAATAACTATGCAAACTTTAACCGATAAAAAAAAAAAAGGATACATTATTGTATTTGTAAAAATATAACAATTGATACCCAGTATTATTGTTGTTGTCAATATAATATATATATATATCTATATATTTAAAATCAATAGATATCTACTTTTAAAGTCTAGGACATTTTGGCGCCAGTCTATCATATATACTTGGCCAATAGATCAATATTATGTTTTCATCGTTATTACATGGTTATGATATTGATGATAAACAACTAAAAATATCAAAATTATTGAACATAACATTAAAATAAAATACTAGAAGGTAAAAACATGTTATATTGTTATGTAGTTATCTCAACACAAGTATAATGGCAAGTCTTCTTAATAATATAATTCTAATTTTAATTTTATAATTATAGAGGCTAATTCAAAGTTCTTATACCGAAAGTTTTTTTTTTTTTTTTGGTCTTCCGCCGGTAACTAATTGCTCGTAAAAACTACTCATCCTGAATATTTTTTTATTGCAATTTATATGGCTATATTATTGAATTATTTACACCCATTTGAGCACTTAAATGTCTATTAGCAGATTGAGCATAGGTTATTGGTACGTTTTTAGTTAGTTAACACTCATCGATATAAATTACATTTTTCAAGAAAACATTTTCATGATCCTTTTAAAAAAAAAAATTCCGGTTAGACTATCATACGTAATTAAGAAGTATCGTTGAAACAACAAAAACACTATAATATACCGTGTTCACTTTGTTCTCATTTTTAAATTAGTAAAACAAGTAAATACATTTCAACAACAATTTTAAAATAATTTTTTTGTTCACCAAAACAATAGTGATTAAATTGCTATATCTTTACTATAGAAAAAAAAAAAATTGGTTGGTCGGTAATACTGAGTCCCTTTCCACTCTGTAATTTTTATTTATTTTCAACAATTATAAAAACTATTAATTGTATAAAAATAACGTATAAATTTAAATGATGCTTTTTGATAAAAAAATAAAAAATAAAAATAAAATTATAAATTCAAAGTAACTTGTAAATTATACTCAAAATACATTTCAACATCAATGTGAATATTCAAATCACATAAAACAATAGAAATATTAATTCATTTATTTTCGAGTTGAATATTATGTTACTTTATGTAGTTTATAATTATTTTATTGCTCTTTTTAAACAATTTCCTATCTATTAAGATTTGTAGGACAATTTAATGAATTTCTTAATTACTGCGTTTCACGCATAAGCATCAAATCGATTAAATCACTAATATATTAAATATTAAAATCGTTTTTTATATGTGTATTCTTTATGCAAATGTTACAAAAATACCTTACATATTTTCATTTTTTATAATATCAGTAAACGTTAAGCAACTTCCTGATGAAGCTTGTTACCGATAAAACTACCATTAGTCTCCTTAAAACCAATACTAACAACGGGAAGATGCCATATCTGATTAAAGAAAAATATTAAAATATATTAGTCATAACATGTTTGACATTTTTTCTGATTTTAACGAGCAGTAAAAAATATATAATGTATTGAAAATAAAATAAAGATAACACTGTTAAACTTATAAGTCATTATTTATTTGAATGTAAACGTCAAATAGTAGTTAATATTGTGATAAATAAATATGCTAACTTAATTTAAACAGTTATAAAAGTATGTAAAGTAAAAGAGTGAAACTTAAAAAAAAACAAGTCTATCATTACCATTAGTTTTTTTTTTAAATTAAATTATAAATAATGCTTACTACCTAAACATATTGGCTAAAAAATATAAATATGTTATAAACTGTTTTATATTATGTTAATAATGTATAAAAATATATTATGTTTCTTGTTAAGTCAGATTAGATAATTGCCTATTATAATAAATAATCTACTTTGAATGATAAATTATTTATATTTTAGTGTTATGTTCGTATAATTCACATGTATTTGAATATAATATACAGTGTTATGGGCTACGATATATATTAATAAATATAAGTATATATAATATAATATGTAATATTGCTAGAAGTATTAGCAATTGTAATATAGATATATATATATGTGGCCTAATGTTATATATTATATGTCTATAATATATACGAGATAGTAGATTCATATTTCTATGAATCTTGTTTTAAAAACATCATAATAAACATATCAATAGCAGTCGTGTGCCGAGGTCGATAATAAATATATTATTGAATTTCCACGAATTGACAATTGGGAACAGATAACATCCTGGAGATTGTTGTTATCGATAAAACAAGTGTGAAAACAATTCCAATAATTAATACGAATTGAAAGGTTATCAATTACAACAAGAAGAAGCTTCTTCGTATATAAGGGAGTCCAGAGACCAACAAGCGCAGATGTACCAGAGCAACAGGGACCTGAGCAACTTCACAACACTCAGCCACTTTTTGTATCAGTTACATGAACTTTATTTATACATAATAAAACATTATTGTTCTTAAGAGTTGTAAATTTCATTTAAATAACAACCTGGATCTGGATCTGATATTGGCACGCAACAACAGAATAGAAAAACAGGATAGCCTATTTATTATATAGGATAGTTTATTTTAATAAATGCCAATCTAAAAAGCAAAATGAAAACATTCAACTAAAATTGTATTGATTAAATACAACAGTAAGCATATTCACTATGAACTAAATACTACTATTTTAAATTAACTGGCATTTTTACCTGAAACAAAAATTGTAAATAAACTAATGTCATAAACTATAATTTATTATTAATGCACAAAAACACTTTTAAGTTAAATAGTATGAAATAAATTGAAGTTAAAACTATTAAAAAAAAACTATTTATTGTATAATCAAGTTTTGTGAAACAATCAAAATGTAAGTTATTTATTTTTATTATTAATTTAGAATGTGTATCAGGCTCACTTAGATTATCAAAGAATAATCTATTAAATTATTAACATTTAAGATAGGTGGATATGAGTTATTTAAAACTGATGCTTGTATCATTGTTTTCTTTAAATCCATTTTCTGAAGTTGATAAGTTATTCTGTATGTAGGGTACAAAATGTATTATTATTATTTGTTGAAGAAAGGCTATAATAGCCATTGTGATTATAGGTATTACAGCAGATAAATAATTGATAGAGGATATAATATATTTGATTTAAAAAAAAGCTAAGACAAAAAAAAAAAAAATACTAACAAAATAATAACGAATGACTTGCATTTTGTTAAGTTTTTAACTTAACTAATCAATAAATATCGCTACCTCTATTTCATTTCGTAATTTTTTGACTTACAAATTATATTTTTTCAATATAATATCAGTATGCCAATATTCCATAAACAGGTTATTATTTGATGCATATTATACTTAAATATTAACATCTTAAATATTTAGAATTGTGTGATAAGATGAAGTTATAATTAATAGCAACGTACATAATATTGTTATCTGAAATTATTATAAACACGATATGTTATTAGTGGTTTATTATTTTTTATTGATCAGTACATATTATCTAAACTCACCTCAAAAAATATACTGAAGTATTAAAATCTGTGATATGGTTATAAGTTATAATATTATAAGCATAATAGATTCTCTATATTACACTTATTTAATAAAATAATATAATATTCGATAATATAGGTTCTAGTCTTTTATATTTTATAAATAGTGTATATAAGTATAAAAACGTTTTGATATTAAATGTATGTACAAAGCAATTTGTATGTATCATTTTTTGTTTATCTTAATCAATATTAAGATTTTTTTAAACGTCAAATAATATTAATAACTATATTCAAAATATAAGTTCATTAGATATATAATTCATTTTTTAAAATTTTTTTGGTCAGAAATATAATTTTAATAATCACTTACCTATGTAAAATAATTCTAAATTAAAATTAATTATTACCTGTAAGTATCATAACTATTGTATCTTATATATGTATACACGGGATAATTACTTTTGAAGTAGGTATGTTAAAAACAAATGAAAAAACATGGACATAATTTATTTATGAAAATCAGTATACATGAGTATAAATTACTTTTATTTTATTCTTATAGATGTCTCATATTTATTTTATATCATATTATTAAATTGACATTGATAAATTATTATAATTAATTAGTTGTTTATACATTTAAATTAAAACTTTTTTTTTTAAATTTTTAATTTATGGTCGTATTAGACAAATAATCAAATAATTTAAAAATAAATGCAACGTATGCATGCATTTTAACTTATAAGGAACTTAAAATTATAATAGATTAAATAAATCCCAATATTGTTTTGCGTTAAAGTCTCTACTACTATAAAATACTCAAAAAATATGAGAAGAATCATTGGAAATTTATAAAATTATCTTTAAGGCTAATATTATATTTTTGAAATGCTCAAAATGTTTGATAATATTTATTTAAAATTTATTTGAAAATGTTTTTTAAAATTTTATGTTGAATAATAATTCCAAAAACAATTACATAAATTACATGTTTAAATTGTATATGAATGTCTTGAAAATAATATTTCCTTAACAATCTCGTACACGTGGTTTGAGAGAGCAAGTATGTTAGTTATATTGCTGAATTGTGTTACTTTGGGTATGTATCAACCATGTGTGGACGATCAATGCATATCTAGAAGATGCAGAATTCTACAAGTAATATATTTTTTCTTTTTTAAATTGTATATTTTATATATTATTTGTATTTGACAAAACTATAATTCATGGAAACTGTGTACAGGTGTTCGACGATTTCATATTCGCATTCTTTTCGCTAGAAATGATCGTGAAAATGATCGCAATGGGAGCATATGGTCCCTGTACTTACCTCGCAGATTCCTGGAACAGATTAGATTTTTTCATCGTGATCGCAGGGTATGAAATCATTTGTTAATAAAATGATGTCATTTATTTTTATTTTGTCTCGTAACGTATATGCGTGCTCGTCATTAACGGCTTGACTAAAATGTGTGAATTAAAATTCCCATTATAATTACGCAGATAATGTCGTTTTGCTATTAACCATATGCGTTGGATTTTTTTTGTTATTAAAATTTTTATTCTCTTGCTTTTTAGTGCTTTGGAGTACTGTTTGAACGTGGAGAACATCAATTTCTCTGCTATACGAACTATAAGGGTTCTGAGGCCGCTTAGAGCTATCAACAGAATTCCAAGTGAGTAAAATTTAGTTTTCATGTTAAAATTTCAAATTATGTACAGATGAACAATTCCCAGCAGTCCAATAAAATATAGTTTATATACGAGTACGTGTGTATATAAATATTATAAATATGTAATAATGTATATTATACGATTATACCAAAAAAAAAATTCTCGTTGATAACAAATAGGCAGGTGAATTTATAATTATATTACATGTTAAAAAATCAGTTTTATCTTTTTGACGGATTCCGTTATTGTGGAATTGATCACATGACACATTTTGTGCAATAAAATATATTTACGTTATCGAAACTCAATATCAGGAGTCGGCTTTAAAAATAATCTCTACGGTGGCATGTTTTATGAGTATATACTGAATATTAATCAAGCAAGAAGATGAACCGTTCGGTTTTGACGTAATTTTTTATTTTAGATTTAAAATAAAAATTCACGTCAGCCATTTAGTTCAATAAATTTATAAATCACCATTTCAGTTTTCGATATAATCTTTGATTTAAAAAAATTTTATTATATTATGATTTATTATACACCAACATATAATATTATGCAGGTATACAAATATGTTGTAAAAAAATATAAAACTAGTGTGCAGTACATATGATGTAATAGAATTATAAATCATTTAAAGTATTCAAATAGTAGATATTATTATAATTAATGTAAAATATTAACAATGCGAAGATTATTAAATGTAAAATAAAATGTTATAATTTCTGTATAGTTATCTAAAATAAATATAACCACATAGCAATGTTCAAAAAAGCAAAAAGGATAATAAAAATATACTGATCTTGTCAGAAAAGATAGATAATAATATTTAGACAAACGTAAACAACAACACCTGTATTTACACACGAAACATTTATTGCCACTTCACTGGGTAACACTCAATAAACAGTTTTTTTGTAATATTTGCCCTATGTTAATTTTTTTTTTATTATTTTATTGGCATATATTTGTAGTTAAGCTTTATTGACTACTGTTAAAATATGTTGACGTATTAAGTACCTTACTTATTGAAATTTTTATTAGACTCATAAATAAAGTATTTTATCGTATTTATTTTACAATAAATAAAGTAAAGACCTGTAACATTGGTTCCTAAACATAATTTCAATAACATGATTAATGATAATCAATATTTTTTCACTCTTATTAAAACTTATACAACAATTTTCACGGTTTTTATATTACATAATGATATTTATATTTAATTAAAAACATTTTTTAAGTATCTATCAAATTAAAACGTTACTCTATGCAACATTATTATTATTTATAATATATTATGTTTGTATTTACAAAAAATAAAGTCATCATTAACAAACTTGTGTTTAAAAATATATAATATTGTTTACTTGAATTTCTGAATAGATATTGTTTGAAAAATTTTAGAGTTGATTATGTATTATCCAAACTAGATTTAAGGGAATAGGAATTAAAAATAAAAATAAAATGTATTCAAAATTAAATAGTACTATGCACAATGCAACAAAACCTATCAGACCATTTATAATATTTATTTTTGTTTCTATAGTTTAAAAAACCGTTAGATTATCTATGATGTATAAAACTTTGGTATTTATGGAGTTTTAAAGGATACGAAAAAACAAAAATATTGTTGTTTGCTCAAAAAAATTTTTTTTTTTTTTAATTTTTGTTAATATTATTTTCATAATGTTATCATGCTCCAGTTCTTTCTTACGTTAAAAAAAAATTGATTTTTTTGTAAATACTGAAATATACATGTAAACATTATATCGTCATATTGTCGTAAGGGTTAAGTTGCGTATCCATTATTTATCGGTTTTTTTTTTTATCATTTCATGTATTAATAATGATCATATTATAGCAGTAAATCGATTGTGTATGAACTTTTGAACTTTTGCCTTTTTAATTTAACTTATGTTTAAATTCTCATTTATTATATGTTTCTTAAAAATATTGACATAAGTAATGTTTATGATTAAAATAAAATTATGTAGGGAAATTAGTATTTAAACTTAAAACCAATATATATATATATATATATATATAAATTTAAATTATGGAATAGAAACTGAAATGGTAAAATTTACCGAATAACTTGCGGAAAAATTGTTTAGCTAATTTAAAATACTGTATACATGAGTATACAATTTATTTTATTATAATGACATAATACTGCATTATGTTTTAAATTAAATCAATAATTTTTGAGTAGGTACATGTTATACAATTTGAAATTTTATTTGACAAACATAGTAATTGTATTTAGTTTAAAAAAATGTATAATATCAATAATGTAAAACTTAATAAATAAAGATATGATAATTTTAATAATAATAATACACTTTATATCGGTAGAATAAATATTAAAATATGTTTGAATGGAGGAATCGTATATTATATTGGGTAGTAGTTTAAGGTAGGTCACACAGATCGTAAAGAAGATTGAGAACGTCTCTAATCGCTTGAGTCTAAGATAAAGGTCATTACTAAATAATACATTTTTAAAATAATTAATTCTTTGCTATTATTATGAATAATTTAAAATCCGATTTAAAGGTTAGTGAAAAAATACTCGGTACTACTTACTAGTTTCGTAAATTGTTTTCTCTATGTAATATATGGTGTAAATATAAGATGTAACATCAATACTTTGTTATGGCAAGAAACGATGTCATAATAATAACCCATTCACTTCGAACCTACATTATTGTGTAGTTAGTAGTTAAACCACTTTATTATTACCTGCCGGATATTATTTTCATTTTATACCAATCGTTGTTCAAGTTAATAATATTAATGAACAATGCTTCATGTGTAAATTATAAATAAACAAATAATATACAACAGAATTTCTCGATTAGTTTCTATTAGGAAACGATATTATTATGCTTAAATCAAAAATATGGAAAATCATAAGGTATGTAGTAGTACTGCGGAAACACAAAACAAAATTTAAAAAAAAAAACTGTTATTTATTTATTCATTTTTAATAAAATTTGTTACTTATACAATAGATATGTTGTATTGGTTTGAAATATTTATTTTATTCAATTTTAATTATATAAATGTTCAAAATGCTGAACCAAATATTTGCGTAATTAAGTTTTTAGTTATAGAAATAGAAAAAAATATCAAGGGTTGGAAATATATTAATAAATTTACGTTATACATGTGGCATATGATATAAACTATATACTATAAAATCAAATTCTGGTTAAATACTGAAAATTACTTTCATAACATACGAATATATCGTGAATACATGATGTAAACATGTTAAATTAATTATTAAAAAATGTCAATTAAATAAAAATGAACTATCGTCATAATATCTTAAACCTTATTTTGGAGTATTTTAAATTGTTGTAAGGACAACTTCAAGAAGTATCGAACGTGTCATAATACTGACTTCTTGTGTAGGTTCAAAATGACCAGTTTAATTTCCAGAAATTCAAGATCTAGGATCTAGGTGATATCCGTTTAAAAATATATAGACATGATTCTGAAATGTAATAACTTTTACTATGTCTACCGTGAAAAATAATCGTCAATGTTTTTGATAGCTTAAAATCGTCTATTTCGGGGTTAAAACATTTTATAATCAGTTGTTGTATCGTCGAAAACGTTTTGGTAAACACAAATATAATTTAATCTAAAATTATTTTAACATACAGATTATAAGTAAAAATTAAGTAATTTTTATGTACATTAAAATGTCAAATTTAAGGGTAATGCCGTAATCTTAGCCATTATTTACCAAATTTTAAACGACTGTTAATATAGTTGAGTAAGTCATTTTCCAAAAAAATAATTATTAAAAATATTAATCCTATTTAAAATTGATATTTACAAATTATTGAAATACCCAACATGGTTAGGTTAGGTTAAGAATTATGAAAAAGTCTATAAAATTTTACAAAACTAGATTGAAATAAATTGATGGTGTGACATATTAGTTGGTGGTGTGCGTGTAAGAAATGATACAATATACCATACTCAGCTTGTTTAATTGTACCGGCAGATAACATAAGAACCAGACCTAATTCACTAAAAGCGCTTAGGTAGGTATGTAGAAAATAAATGACTGAGTCTTAAAAGTAGACTTAGGAAAAGGACATAATCAATTACCGAAGAAAATATGTTCAGCGACATTTTCTTCATTTAGTGGTGTATACCTACACATTATTTATTTCATGTAGTTTATTCATTTTAAAGTAAGGTACTGACGGAAAAAAGTTTAACTATACAAAATGACGAAAAAACTTAAAAACGCCTTTGTAAATATGAGTGGTTGAAAGTTGAATTAATAGTAGTAACTATTAAATTAAAAAAATAATAATAATAATAATAATTGCTTAAAATCAATGTAGTATTGTATATATTTACTTAATCATATCTGTATATATTTATTTTTTTTTTTTTAATTTAAGGTATTAATTGGTAGTTTATTAATTAAATTGAATCTTCAGGCGAAATTATTATAAAAATATAATAATACGAATATTCATCTTAAATTATTATAGACACCAATAATGCATAATATATTCAATGTACAGTTAAGTTGACTCACATAGTTACGTCTATAATACAACGATGATGAAAATTCTTATGTACGATATAATTAATAGTAATTTGTAAAGTATCATAAATTATTTCATGGGTATTCTACGCTGACACTTTATAAACTTAACTTACAACAGTGTAACGGATCATAAATCTCAAGTATTTTTCTTGAACGACTTAAATTCGATTACTAAATGGTGTCTTCCTACAAATTGACTTTCTGAACAATTTTCTTTCCGGGAACCCCGTATAAGTTGGGTAAACTTAAAATTCCACGGAACAGCATTCTCAGTTATCTGTCTACGTTAACTTCGCTAACAATATTTTAAAGTATTTCCAGTTGCATTTATAACACACAATTTAACTCAACAATCGTATTTGTGGTATTGTATGTGTATAATATAATAATATGCATTCTAAAAACATTATAAGAAATTTAAAAAGTTTATAGTGTATATGATTTTTGATTCGATGTAGTGATGCCGTGATAGCAAACTATGTCTAGTGTTAACGATGTGAAACTACACAATAATTCATATAAAATATATAGTTTGGAAGATTTAAAACAAAAATATTTATTTAAATTAAACATTTTTTTTTTCATTTCTGACAATAATCGATGCTTAAACATATATAATTTAATGAATAGCTCATTAACTCATCAATTTTATATTATAGTATATTAATTATTAAACATGAAGTAGAATAAATGACTACACTATATCACTAAAATAAATTTGATGAAATTAAATTATATAATTATAATATCAGCATAAATATTTACAGAAAAAAAAATTTTTCAAAATTAACATTCAATTTTGTAGACTTAAGTAAAAAACCAAACCATTTTCTTATCTATATAGACGATTTTGAACGTACTTTGTCATTAAGGAGTCACTGTAATTTTATTAGTGCGTTAAATTTAAATCTTTTTAAATCGCCGAATGAAAATGCAACTTTGAGCAAAGACTTATTTATTTAGACTTATTAATTTATTTTTGTTAAATATATTAAGTTCATATGATTAATATTCTCTGAATTAAAGTATAATGGTTTTTTTCTAAAACAAGTTAAACATTTTTAGCCATAATCTCCTCAAAAAAATATCCCAATAATAAACATAACAATGTAAATATTATTAAACATATGTATTTATAAACTGAATAATATTCTTAGTTATTTAAATTAATTGGTGAGAAATTACATCATATTATGTAAATTATGTTCATTAAAAATAAAATATGTAATAATATTACATAGTATAACTAATTATTTTAAAAATTTTACAAAAAGAAAAAAAATGTAGTACTCAAAAACTAATATTATAAAGTAAATTAAATTAAGTGAAAATGATTAGCTCGTGACCCATGTAGTCACCTACTGTTATCAAATTAATGATTAACACACGTCACTTAAGATATAATTTGATGATCAGTAATTTTAACCACGACTTCTATAACAGAGGTTAAAGTTTTAAATTAATATTTACGAAGAATATTTTGGTTTCAGAGTATTTTGATGCATTGCTGAAAATGTCAATTAAAAAAAAATCGAAAAAAGCTTAAAAATGCCTAACGTCTTTAATTTAGAATACAAAAATAGTTTGACAATTTTATTATGTCCTACATAATGTTACAATAAATTTTTAGTAAAAATGTCAAGCCTTTACTGTTATTTATTTTTATATTACAATAAATAAATAAAATACAAAATTGACTTTTTTTAAAAATCTGGCGTCGCGCAAATATTTACGTTTTTGTTTCAAGCTTAACAGAAAATGAATTTTATAGTTGCAATAAATGCATATTTTATAAAGTATTTATTTTATTTTAAATGATAATATTTCCGTTTAATTCTTAAAATGTATAATTTAAATCCGTCCAATCTAGTTCCAAAGTCCCATTTATATTAAATTTATTAGTCATTAGTATCCTTTGAAAATAATAAATAAATATAACGTTAGATGATTTCATAATAAATCAGCAGGCAACTCAATCATCTGTGTTCATAGTGAATTCAAAAAATTTCGATATTTAGGCTTGAGTTTAAAACTCTACAGTTCTTAATATGTATTTTGACATTTAAATATTTCATTTGAAGTTTTAGTAAAATAATTCTATACTGAAATTAGCTACATTATAAGCTTGTTAAATTGTGTTGCTATGCTTACTGAAATTTAAGCGTTGTACACGAACATCCCAGACGAGCTCTAACATTATATAAAGAACTGCAGATGATGGCATTTTGTTGGACTTTATGTAGAAGGCGGAAATTATACGTAACAAAGACTGTTCCCATGGGTTGAAAGGGCTGAAGGTATCTTACTAATAAAACGTTATGATATTATAAAGGCAGTACATACAGCTTCGAATTACACGAAGATGTTAGGAAATTATTGTATTGCGTTATTCACAAGGTAGGTACTAATAATAATAATGAAAAAGAATGATTGATTATAAAACTAACCGTTGGGCAATGATTAATACACGTTACGGTTTTGACATAATTTAAAAAAATATATAATAAAAAAATAGCGATTATATTATAATATTATAGAAATAATATTTTTGATTTAGATATTTGAAAAAAGTATTTAATCACATCATATAACTGATTCATTTTTATTTCTTTATAATAATCAATAAAATATAATAAAAATATGTATTAAGCTAAAATGGCACAATTTAAATGTATTTATAAAAAATAAATTAGATGATTGAATTTAATTGTGCCATGTCTTACACAAGAATATTTTGTGCTGATATTATATAATAATAAATTTACGTTAAATAATTTCACAGCTTACACTATATTATTTAAGTAATCAGTTTGTTCTTTTTTTGTTATCATTATGACAACTGCGATTGGGGAAATTCTTAAGTTCAACTACATTTAATAAATTATAATATAGTTCGATTCCAAAATTAAAATCAAATTTAGTAAAATCTAATCACTAGAAGAATTTTTCCTTTTATTTATAATTTATATAATAAATATTTGAAAAACAAAAATAAAAAAGAATTTTATATTTAAAAAAAAATAAAAAATAAAAATATAATTTGTAATACATAGACTGAGTTCGATTCATTTAAAATTGTTATCTGTATAATAAAAATATAATTAAAGGGTTTCGCATTGGCGGTTTGCATTACTTTACTAATCGTTTCTTGTTTATTCATTCATCTAAGAAATGTTCATTATGCATGGAAAATAATTTAAGTAAGTAATAGTTGTGGAATGATTTAAATTTCTACGATAATATGTTTTGAATTAAAATTATAAAACAAAAATCGTATGAATATTTTTGATAGTCCAATACCACACAGATTTAAATATATAAATATTTAGTATCTACTATCTACTACTACCTAACTTAATCTATGGTTAATTATTTTTGAATGACAACATATAAGAATACATCGATCTAATAGGAATCTGGTGTTACGTACATTTTCTTGTTTTTCCGTGATTTGTTTTTGTTTTTCACGATAATTTAGGAAAGATCAAGAAATTTTAATCTAAGTACAGATTAAATTAATTAATTTTGTACCAGAAACCACAATCAACATTGAAGATAGATCTTAATTGTGTTAGAATAAGTATGTTTAGTGTTTATATTATATAAAAACACAAATAATTATAAAAACCAATACATTAAACTTATCTCTGCTAAACATTTAAATATTATTTGATAATGATAAAACAACTTGAATTAAATTATAGATTTTATTGTTATATTATACTTAATAATATTATTATTTGTAGTTTTTTATTAGTAACATTTTATAACGAGTAAAATTAACATTACATATTAATGTTATCACTTTTGCCGCATAATAAATTATTTATTTATCATAAACTACACATGATATTTACCTAGAAAATATTTTATTTTAGGTATACTGTTTCTATTAATTTTGAGATTGTTGATACTTTAGACGATTTTTTAACACTAACTTTAAATTTGACAAAAGTTTATGATGTATGTTTATGAATAATTTATAAATAAATTGTCGTAAATTCATTAATTATTCTATGGGTATTGTCTGATCATAATATTTATTATAAAATATATTACATCAATTTCTGAAAGTTTTCATTCACATTGTTACAGGTATGCGTATATTGGTCATGTTGCTTTTGGACACTTTGCCAATGTTGGGTAATGTGCTACTGTTGTGTTTCTTCGTGTTCTTCATATTCGGTATCATTGGAGTGCAGCTATGGGAAGGCATACTTCGACAAAGGTGTTTCTTAAAACCACTACCAAATGTCACTTATCCCAAGTAAGAAAAACTTTACATAATTGTCTATTATGTGCCTTTAGTATAATGCATACATGCTCATTTTATTGTAGGTAATTAATTTAAATAATAGTGTATGTAAGCAAATTTCTGGTACCTAATTAATGTTTTAATTTATTTCACAAAATATCATATAATAAACTCAAGCATAACTGTTCATATAATTAAAATAAATATATATATATATATATATATAAAAGGTTAAAAGTCATATTATTTTATAAAATAAAATAAATATTATAAAAATAAATAAATATAATTAATATAATAAATAATAAATATAAAAATATATATTATATTATTATTATTTTATTATATATATACGTATATTAATATATAAATATTATTTTATATTTTTTTAATTTAATTTATATGTATATTTAAAAGGTTAAAAGTCATATTATTTTATTTTGTATCAGGTGTAACTAAATCAATTCAATATAATATCAATAAATTAATAATAAATAATAATACTTAATAATAGTTATAAAATTTAATTTGATAACATTTTGATTGTTTTTTTTTTTTTTGTAATTAGTTCTATAAAGAAAATTGACTTAATAAAACATAATTTTTGCTACCTGTTAAAAAAAAAAATAAATACTGTATAAGATGATTAAAAAAAAAAAAATTATCAATAATTCACTATCAAATAATAATATATAGTAGAATGTATTCAGTAACTTTTTTTGAAACTTAAACAGATGTGTCCACGGACTGGTATGTAGTAGAAAATATTATTCCGAAATCCATTACCTCTAAAGTTTTATGTAGGTAACAAATATTCACTGATGATAGAGAAGTGAAAATATTGTTTCCGGTTCCGGTGAATGACCCGTTTTTATGCTGACCGTATGCAATTCAAATGATTTTAGTAGTTTAAAATATTGTTTATTTAATATTGGAAAAAAATCAAATTATTTGGATAAGGAAAATATAATTTCAACGAGTTATATACAAGGCTTTTATAAAAACATATAAAAAAACAATTATTGAATGTGTTATTAATGTATTTGGAAATTGTATTACATAGCAAAAATTAAAAATGAGTGCAATACTGCAAAACAGTTTGTATAAAATATTGAATATATTAAAATATTATTAGTAATCACATATACGATTGTATCAAATAGTTTTTAATAAAAATCATTAAATCAAATGTATAGAGCATTATTATGTTTTAAATTGCCGATTTATATGGAAAAAAAAATAAAAATACAACATTAAGTACTTACCTACTTACAAATGTTTATCTTGAAATTATAATAGTGTATAAACATTTTATTTTATTAAAAGACCATCTTATTAAAAAAAATATATAGATTAAGGTAGCTAATATTGTGTTTTTTTCTTAAATATAACACTAGACAAAAATTAAGAAAAATAAGGAAAAAGTTTTATTTAAAATTTAAATTAAATTTTTACTGGAATATTTATGATAAATAAAATGGCTTATAAAAAATACTTAAATATAAATTAAAATTTATCATTAAGAAAATAGGTATAGCATTTTCAAAAGATTTAATTGCTATTAAGTTATATAACGTTCAATACGATAATGCCACTTGTGACATTGCATTAAGGACTATCATATTTATTCACTGACACAATAATGTTACGAATTATATTCTTTTAAAAATTCATTTTTTTTACCTTCATGTCATATTTTTTCACCATTAAAGGACAAACATTTTTTTTTTAGGACTTCGTCACAAAATACAACCAACCCATTTCTCGCATTGTTTTTTTTTTTTTTTTAACTCGTTAAACAACACTTGACTTTAACTGCAAAAGTCGTATGCCACCGATTGTTTTTTGCCTTTTTCATTCGTTATATTTTACTGTACATAACAAGTTAAAGTTCTCTGTTTTTTTTTTTTTTTAAATTAAACTTTTCATTTTATTTTATATAGAATAAAATATATATACATAGCATAAAAAATTGCTTCAACACTAATTTTTCATATATTATTTAACCTTATTGATTATACTTTATAATATAGTTTCAAACTTTTAAAGATTTATGTGACATACAGTCATCTTAAATTGAAACACTTAGAACATCGTATTAATTTTCATAAATAAGTCTTTGACTCGTAAGTAATTAAATATTCATACTTTTACTTATGATGAATCCTAATTTTTGAAAGAGTTTAAAAAGGCGTTACAAAAGTTAAACTAAATACTTTAAGAGTTAAAATTAAATAAAAATATATTTATTATACATCAAACAAAATATTTAATTAAATATTATTTCATGTAGTTAAAAAATGTTGTTTTATAAAATAGTAATAATTTTATTGAGTTAGTTAATTGTTATGAATAATAATACTGTAATATATGGAATTATATTTGGTTTTTACTTTTTATTATTTTTAAACAAGTTAAACATCTAAATTCTAAGTTAATACGTTTTTAAATAAAATTATTACTATCAAACTGTTAATTTACAGAATTCTATTAAAAACCATAAAGATCAACACTATTCAGATATATAAGAGAGGTAAAAAATCGAATACAAATACAATTTAGAACTTTTAAAATATTACCCTGAAGACGACAATACATTTCTAAAAATAATGCCAATAAATTATAAAGCAAAATTATTTTATTAAATATTCTACAATGAATTACCTCAACATTTCAATCTCTATATAAAACAATAAAATTATAGTCTTCTTCCAATTCTATCAAGTGTTCCAGGAGCTTATTAAAATGTGCTTATAGCACTGTAATTGTTAAAATATTTTAATAATATAATAACAGTAGTAATTTTGCTAAATAAATAATTAAAATAGCTAATATAATTAATAAGGTATTAGATTTTTTTCAATGGAATGAGTCATAATATATTGTATTTAAAACATTTAATTAATTCACTTATAACTATAAAAATAATATAATTCAATATTTATATTTCTAAAACTTCTACTACAAAAATGTTCTACTTCTTATAAAAGATTTTTTTTTTTAAATATTTTCATGAAATAAATTTAACCCTGATTTTTTTCGTGTTTAATTAAAATACAGATTTATTAATACGGTTTCCTTCAACCATAGTTTCAGAATATTATGAAATGATCTTCGCATTATTTTATTGTATTTAGACATTCATGATACGAAATATATTATTTTTGTAGTATGGATTCGTGATTTGTTTTTAAATAATTCATGAAGTATTAATTTATATTAATATTTAATTAATCGTTAAAATACACGGAAAGTTGAAAAAGCTTTTTGGTAATATAAAGGTATTGTTTTGTTCAACTTAAATTACTTTTGGCACAGCAGACTAAATTGCTTGGGTATCTAGTTTAGTTAACTTAATTTACAACGTAAATCAGACTTTCTTTATTATAATGACGTCCAACTGCTTGGTGTACATTTTTGATTAACTTTTTTAACATTTTATAGAATATTGTTGGTATATAATAAAACGATAATAATTGTAATTGTTCCACTCATAAAATCAAATTAAACTGTGAACCTTTATTTTATATTATTGAAAAAACCTATAATGAAAAAAATGTAAGAAAATTAGTAATTTAAAATTGTAAACGTTTTGAATGAATGAATTGTGACTTGACCATTTTTAAACATTTTGATTTCTATAACAGATTATTCTATAAATCATAAACAATCATTGTTAGTTATAAATTTATAAAATTTAAAAAATAAAAATACGCATATAAATACTATATTATCTAGTAATAAAACTAGTCATATGAAAAATTTAGAATTTAATGTATAAAATAAATTATTAGCCATCTCTTATTTATGTGGAAAATATTATAGATTAAATAGTTTATATTAGTAAGAAGATCAGAATAAGATAGGATAATAGATTTAAATGAAATATGATTATAAAACTAAGGAAAATTTAAACTCAAATTTACAAAATCATTATTATCTTAATGCTAAATGTCTATTGAAATACGTTTTTGTTTTTAACAAGCTGTACATTAGATACAATAAGAAATATATATGGCGTTTAATTTTATATAATATTTAAATTTAAAATTTCACATAATTTAAAACCATAAATAATTATAACTATATCACCTAGGCCTTTTTAAATCTATAAAATACTAATCCAACTGTGCCAAAAATACAATTAATTTGTCTTTTTATCGTTTAATTTCAGTTGTATTGTATGATACAAATAAATTTATAATAATTAATTTTATGATTTCAACTTCTTAATTATGGTTATATTTTTTATGTAAGAAAAGCAAAACTAGAGACAAATTCAACTAGTTAATAATAGCCAACGTAAATCTAATACCACTAAAATTGATATTCGTTTTGATGTATTAACTAATATATATATAGAAGTTATCATTATGATATTTTTATTCATAAGTATTTTATCTTTAGATTAATTAATGAAAAATAAGCTAAAAACACTCTTCGAGTCTCGAGTAATATATATGGATATAACTTTTATTTAAAACTATCAAGCAATTTTTGAGTTTATAAAAGATAGATAAAGAATAATAATCAATACATAATTTACGAATAGAATGTATTAGGTATTATATGATATAATATTATTATATATATTTCAACTGAAATTCTATTTATTTTTTAATATTGTGATGGCTAACAGGAACAATACAATATTAATTTAATATAACTTATAGTATTTTATTTTTTTTCAACTAGAATCCATTTTAAAAACTTAAATTACATGGGAAGTTTAGAAATATTAGTGCCACTTCGAATACACTTTAATATTAATGGTGATACGATTTATTTTTACCAATATTATAAATAGTTATGATATTTATGGTAAAGCACAAAATTGCAAAAAATTAATATTAAGAGTTAATGTGAATTATACTTATTATTTTTTCAATAAGCTTATTAATTATTTTAGCAATAGAATTTAATCTTAAAGATTAAAATAAAAATTTTGTTTACATATATTATATAAAATAAATCAGCAAAATATTTATGAGATTGATTCTGGGTCAATAATT